AAAAAAATTGTGAAAATCAAATTTCGTCATAAATTTAGGCCAAAATGTATTCTGCTCCATGTCTTTGCTAAAAAAAAATCCCAATTTGTGTAAATTAATTGGTTTACCTGAAAGTTATAGCATCTACAAATGGCGGTATATACAGTATACTGAATTTTTTTTTTTTAATTTTTTATCTAGTAATGGTGGCGATCAGCGACTTATAGCAGCACTGTGGTGGGCATTCTAACACTGGAGGGAACTGACTTGGTGTCACTTACATCTCCAGTGACACCAATATAGTGATCAGTGCTAATAAAAAGCACTGACACTGTACTAATGTCACTGGGCAGGAAGGGGATAACATATGAGACGATCAAAGGGTTAACTGTGTACTGTGCGCTGTTTCACTGTGTGCTGTGTGTGTGCTTTACACTGTAAGCACGCTGCTTTGCATGGCTCTGCTATGCAGAGCCATACAAAACAGTGTGCAGGAGCTCACAGGGAAGAGATCTGTGTTGTTTATACACAGGTCTCTACCCCATCGGTAATTCTCGTAGATCACCGGGTGCCAGCGGAGAATCAAAGGCTGGGACGCAGTGATTGACAGCCAAGGCCACGCACACGTGATTTTGCACACACGTGCTGCCCTGTAGCAGTATTTCTGCTATAGGGCGGCACAGAAGCGGTTAAAAAAGAAAGTTATCTTGGCCTCACAGTAATACTTTTTCTTTCATAAGAACCACATCGCATTTTAAAGCTGAACTGCAGCTTTTGGTACACTTTATTTGGGCTAAGCTGGCCCAAACGAACTACGTCCCTCCCTAGCATGTGTGGCCACTGGATCTGCTATATAAACTGTATGCAGCTGAGGCTACATACAACATACAGCACTGTGTTGCGGTGTGAGCCAAGACCTTCCTGTCTCAGACCTGGAAGACAATAGAGTCTGTCTGAGCTGCACTCATTCTATCAATGAATACAAAGCTTCCTCTGATTGAGTCAGAGAAGTGGGCTGACTCAGCCAATCAGCTTTAAGTTTTGCATTTATAAGGTGGTCTCATGATGGACATAAGAATAATGTCTACAGTGGCATTTAAAGTCAGCTTGTGATAGATAGACTACTGATAGCACCACTGATTTTCAAACCTATCATGATAGAAATATCATTGTGAAAATGCGTCTGTCTGCCATGCTAACTCTTTGGCTCTGATCAGGGGCGGACTGACAACTCATGGGGCCCCCGGGCAATAGGGGATCATGGGGCCCCTGTGTCCTTGCCCAAACTCAAAAAAGCCTATGAAAAAGGTACCAGGGGCATCTCTCATGGGGCCCCCTACTGACCCGGGCCTCGGGCAGTGCCCAAGTTTCCAAATGGTCAGTCTGCCCCTGGCTCTGATACAATCTGAGTCTCTGACCTGGAAATGTATATCAAGAAAAGACGGTTCTGGGGCAATATTTTAGAAAGTACTGACTCTAGAGGGTCAGCACAAGAACCAAGCAAGTAACATTCTTAGTACATGGTCAGCAATACATACTTCTCTTCAGGTGTGAATTTGGGACCAGTGGCTGTGTCTGTGCAGCCTGTGTATCACAATAGATATTCATGGGACTGCCTGCATGCGGAAGCATGGAACATCTGTGCATCCTGTGCGGGCAAAGATGGCCCTTCACATGGGTGTATGCATAGGTACACCCGTGTAAATGAGGCCTAACACTATTAGAGTAATTTTATAATGGAAATGCAGGTATCCGCTATCAACTATTTGTTATATTCCAAGGGGTTGAGCCAGCAATACATGAATCGAAATTCATCTGGTTTGGCTTTTCCTATAGCTAGCAACATTGATCATTGTATTCTGATGGGAAAAGCTCCCCGCTGTTAGAACACACCACAGTGGGAAGGATTCCCCCATCCATATCAAATGTGGTTGAATGAAAAAAATGATCAATATATGGGCTGTCATAAGCACATTGACATTTTATGGTCCAGTCATTAAATCTAGTAGGCCATGGTGTGGAACTTGCAGTGCTCCACCAAATATGCAAAAAAGAGAGCTCTGTGTTTGTAGGAGAAACCAGTCAAGTGATTTTGATATGTCCCATGACTAGGCTCTCCTCATGGCTTTTTGTTTCCTGCTCTGTTCTCATGAATCTTAATAGCACTCCAATGGATTTGGCTTCAGCCATACTGCTGCTTTTTAAAAGTTAAATTGAATTCCTTATGTCGTGTAATAGCGTCTCAATGTTTTCCTGAATAAAGTTTAAGAGAATAGAATGATTAAAAAGTAAAAGTAAAGATTGTAAAGTAGAAGAATGGAAAGCCCTAGAAATGGTAGCAGTTTCTACATCACATATGTCAGTGATGTCATGCTCTCCACCACATCCAATCAGGATTGAGCCAGCCATACATGAATCAAAATCCGTCTGGTTCGGCTCCTGCTATAGCTAGCAGCATTGATCATTGTATTCTGACGGCGGGAAAAGTTCCCCGCTGTCAGAATACAATACCACTGTCAGGGCTCCCAGGTATGACCAGAGATGTGTGTGACTGACGCAGGGAAACGCAGACTTCAGATATGGGATAAACAATATAATTTATTAACACTAACAATACAAACATAAACGCAGTGCAATACTAAACATAATACAGTGCAAACAAACCAAACCAACCACCCACAGATAACAGTACATACAAGCAAGCGTCGTCAGGCAGGCCGGGTCAATATCAATTGGGCAGGTAGGTACAGGGGGAGCAAGCGGAGAATGGTCGGGGTCACAGGCCAGGTTCAGCAGGTAGCAAGCAGCATAGTACAGAGGGTCAAGCAGAGGGATGGTCAGGGTCACAAGCCAGGGATCAGAACAGGTAGCAAGCAGCGTAGTACAGAGGGTCAGCAAAGGAACAGAAACAGGATGCAGGACAGATACAGGGCCCAGGACAAACACACACCAAGGCAGAGTCTGTGGGTCTGGCCATCCCTTAAATACCCCAGCATAATCAGTTCCAGGTGTTAGCTGGCTGCAAAGTTGAGTCTCTGATTGCTGGGAGCACCCGCTGGCCAGCCCTGGTACTGCAGATCAAAAGGCAGGTGAGTCCCACCATTGCTGGCCAGTCCATTCCTGACAGTACCCCCTCCTCAAGGAGCGGCCTCAGGACGCTCCAAACAGTCCTAGCTGGGAAAAATGTTCCACCGCCCGGGTCTTGTAACTGGCGGGATATCAAAGACTGGCACACCTGGCAGGACTCCGGGCAGGACACCGGGCAGAGGCACATCGGGCTGGACTCCGGGCAGAGGCACATCGGGCTGGACTCCGGGCAGAGGCACATCGGGCTGGACTCCGGGCAGAGGCACATCGGGCTGGACTCCGGGCAGAGGCACATCGGGCTGGACTCCGGGCAGAGGCACATCGGGCTGGACTCCGGGCAGAGGCACATCGGGCTGGACTCCGGGCAGAGGCACATCGGATTACCGGGCGAAGCAGCAGGCAGCGGGTCACCGGGCGGAGCAGCAGGCACCGGGCCCCCGGGCGGCTAGCAGCAGGCACCGGGCCCCCGGGCGGAGCAGCAGGCACCGGGCCCCCGGGCGGAGCAGCAGCAGGCACCGGGCCCCCGGGCGGAGCAGCAGGCACCGGGCCCCCGGGCGGAGCAGCAGGCACCGGGCCCCCGGGTGGGGCGACCGGCATCGGGCCCCCAGGAGGGGCGACAGGCATCGGGCCCCCAGGCGGGGCGACAGGCATCGGGGGCCCCCAGGCGGGGCGACAGGCATCGGGCCCCCAGGCGGGGGCGACAGGCATCGGGCCCCCAGGCGGGGCGACAGGCATCGGGCCCCCAGGCGGGGCGACAGGCATCGGGCCCCCAGGTGGTGCGACAGGTCTCGGGCCCTCAGGCGGAGCGGCGGGCGCCCGGACCCCCAGGTGGAGCGACAGGTCTCGGGCCCTCAGGCGGAGCGGCGGGCGCGCCGGACCCCCAGGTGGAGCCACAGGTCTCGGGCCCTCAGGCGGAGCGGCGGGTGCCGGACCCCCAGGTGGGAGCGACAGGTCTCGGGCCCCCAGGCGGAGCGACAGGTCTCGGGCCCTCAGGCGGAGCGGCGGGCGCCGGACCCCCAGGTGGAGCGACAGGTCTCGGGCCCCCAGGCGGAGCGACAGGTCTCGGGCCCCCAGGCGGAGCGACAGGTCTCGGGCCCCCAGGCGGAGCGACAGGTCTCGGGCCCTCAGGCGGAGCGGCGGGCGCCGGACCCCCAGGTGGAGCGACAGGTCTCGGGCCCTCAGGCGGAGCGGCGGGCGCCGGACCCCCAGGTGGAGCGACAGGTCTCGGGCCCCTCAGGCGCAGCGGCGGGCGCCGGACCCCCAGGTGGAGCGACAGGTCTCGGGCCCTCAGGCGGAGCGGCGGGCGCCAGACCCCCAGGTGGAGCCACAGGTCTCGGGCCCCCCAGGCGGAGCGACAGGTCTCGGGCCCCCCAGGCGGAGCGACAGGTCTCGGGCCCCCAGGCGGAGCGGCAGGCGCCGGACCCCCAGGCGGGAGCGGCAGGTCTCGGGCCCTCAGGCAGAGCGGCGGGCGCCGAGTCATCTGGCACGAAGTGTGGGCTCCGAGTCAACTGGCATGACCGCTGGCACTGGGTCAGACATTGGATCGTCTGGCTGGACAGCGGGCATCGGGTCACCCGGCATCAGGTCATTTGGCTCGACCGCGGGCACCGCATCATCTGGCAAGGCAGTGGGCTCCGAGTCAACTGGTATGACCGCGGGCACTGGGTCAGACATTGAATCGTCTGACTGGACAGCGGGCATCGGGTCACCAGGCATCAGGTCATTTGGCTCAACAGCGGGCACCGCGTCGTCATCTGGCAAGGCAGTGGGCTCCGAGTCAACTGGTATGACCGCGGGCACTGGGTCAGGACATTGGATCGTCTGACTGGACAGCGGGCATCGGGTCACCAGGCATCAGGTCATTTGGCTCAACAGCGGGCACCGCGTCATCTGGCAAGGCAGTGGGCTCCGAATCAACAGCACGACAGTGGGCACCGGGTCATCAGGTACTGGATTGTCTGGCTCGACAGCGGCACTGGGTCACCAGGCATCAGGTAATTTGGCTTGCCAGCGGGCACCGCGTCATCTGGCAAGGCAGTGGGCACCGGGTCACCAGGCATTGGGATCGTCTGGCTCGACAGCGGGCATCGGGTCACCAGGTATGACAGCGGGCACTGGGTCACCAGGCATCAGGTCATTTGGCTCGCCAGCAGGCACCGCGTCATCTGGCAAGGCAGTGGGCACCGAGTCACCAGGTACGACAGCGGGCTCTGAGTCAATTGGCACGACAGCGAGCACCGGATCAGGTACCGGATCATCTGGATCAACAGCGGGCATCGAGTCAACTGGCCTAATAGGATCATCAGGCTGGATCAGTTCATCATGCTGGGTAGAGGCATCAGGCCGAGTAGAGGATTCAGGCCGAGTAGAGGCATCAGGCCGAGTAGAGGCTTCAGGCTGAACCACGGAAGGCAGGTTCACCGGTTTGGATACTGGCAGGATGGTATTGGTTGGAAAGAATTTTCGCTTTTTTCTGGTTTTAACTACTGGAGCACTGCAAGTAAACGCAGGTCTGCAAACGATGGAGCAGCTGGAGACAGAGAAGAACTGGAGGATGGAACAGGAGAGGGAGCAGTTGCTACAGAGGGCTTTTTTACAGGGTTAAAGGCAGGATAGGTGCAGCGAGTGGGAACAGGTACTGACAGCGGTAGATAGCCAAGTATACTGGGCTGTAACTGGAGGAGCTGTTGGGAATACAGGAGTAGAGTTAGAAGCAGGACTGGGTTTTTGTAAGCTGACTGAGGCTGGGTGCAACAAGTCTGTCCATGTCTGCTCTGCTGAGCTTACCCAAAGACCTGTTCTGGAGCAGTGCTATGCGTTTTTTTCGACTAGGAAGGCTGACGGAGGGGTAACTGGGTTGCAACAAGGTTGTCCATGTCTGCAGTAGGGTTACAAAGCTGAGCTTACAAAGCCTGTCTGGTCAATGACTGCACTGCGTTTATACAAACTCTTAGTGTCTGTGGTGTGAACATGTGGAATAACGCTCCAGAAAGTAACCCACATCATCCTCTAATAACCACACCAGGGACTCTACCTGGTCTGCACTAAATGGTGGCAAAAATTCATCCCTGCATTCGGGGGAACCAGATTTATTAACCTCAACAAAGGCTGAATGAAACCAACTCTGCACAAACCTCAATCAAAAGGCTGCACCTCAGAGAACTCTGTGCCCTGATCTACTAGAACATGAGCGAGCCCGTATACATTCTAGCAGTTCATCCCGGGGATACTCCTTCAGAGTTTGATAAGCATACTCCCTGTCATCAAACACTAGCAGAGATAAATACTCAACCTCATCCAGATCCATCCTTCCCATCAACAAACCAAGATGGCTTCCCTGTGCAGCCACTTCTGGTCAGGATTGGCCTTGGTGTAATGTCAGGGCTCCCAGGTAATGACCAGAGATGTGTGGACTGACGCAGGGAAACGCAGACTTCAGATATGGGATAAACAATATAATTTATTAACACTAACAATACAAACATAAACGCAGTGCAATACTAAACATAATACAGTGCAAACAAACCAAACCAACCACCCACAGATAACAGTACATACAAGCAAGCGTCGTCAGGCAGGCCGGGTCAATATCAATTGGGCAGGTAGGTACAGGGGGAGCAAGCGGAGAATGGTCGGGGTCACAGGCCAGGTTCAGCAGGTAGCAAGCAGCGTAGTAAAGTTCAGAGGGTCAAGCAGAGGGATGGTCAGGGTCACAAGCCAGGGATCAGAACAGGTAGCAAGCAGCGTAGTACAGAGGGTCAGCAAAGGACAGAAACAGGATGCAGGACAGATTACAGGGCCCAGGACAAACACACACCAAGGCAGAGTCTGTGGGTCTGGCCATCCCTTAAATACCCCAGCATAATCAGTTCCAGGTGTTAGCTGGCTGCAAAGTTGAGTCTCTGATTGCTGGGAGCACCCGCTGGCCAGCCCTGGTACTGCAGATCAAAAGGCAGGTGAGTCCCACCATTGCTGGCCAGTCCATTCCTGACAACCACAGTGGAAGGATTCCCCCATCCATATCAAATGTGGTTTAATGAAAAAAATTATCAATATATGGGCTGTCATAAGCACATTGACACTTTTATGGCCCATTCATAAAATGTAGGCCATGGTGTGGAACTTGCAGTACTCCACCAAATATGCAAAAAAGAGAGCTCTGTGTTTGTAGGAGAACCAGTGATTTTGATATGTCCCATGACTAGGCTCTCCTCTTGTTTTTTTTTCCTCCTCTGTTCTCATGAATCTTAATGGCGCTCCAACGGATTTGGCTTCAGCCATACTGCTGCTTCTCAATGCTTTCTTGCATAAAGTTAAGAGAATAGAATGGTTACAAAGTAAAAGTAAATATTGGAAAGTAGAAGAATGGAAAGCCCTAGAAATGGTAGCAGTTTATACATCACATATGTCAGTGATGTCATGCTCTCCACCATATCCAATCAGGGTTGAGCAAGCCATACACGAATAGAAATTCGTCTGGTTCGACTTCTGCTATAGCTAGCAACATTGATCATTGTATTCTGACAGTGGGAAAAGTTCCCCGCTGTCAGAACAGAATACCACAGTGTGAAGGATTTCCCTCATCCATATCAAATGTGGTTGAATGAAAAAAAAATGATCAAATATGGGCTGTCATAAGCACAAAAGGAAAGCCGAAGAAAATGGTAGCAGTTTCAACATCACATATGTCAGTGATGTCATGCTCACCACCACATTCAATCAGAGAATGCTTTGCATTCATTCAAAAAATACAAAGCATTCTCTGAGCATTCAAAGCATTCACCTGTGCTGAGTAGCCAGCCTCCTGTGTTCAGAATGAAGCAGGCCAGCCACTTGGCAGGGAACCCGGAGTCAAATGGAGATCACTAGAGTAGCTGTGTCTACTTCAGTAATTTCCAGCTTCCAGGGGCATTAGCCAAGTATGGTATGGTCCAAGCTGGACCAATGTAACTACAGTATGTAAAAATATACCATACCTGGAATTTAAATTTGACTCTTGCAGTGCAGATGTAATCCCCACTGCAAGAGAGGACTTTTTTATTTTGGTTTTTCCGGAGTTCAGCTTTAATTTCTAACATGCTATTAAAACTCCAGATATGCATTTTCTAAAAATTCACTTTTCTTTTTCTTTTAATGCTTTATAGACATTTAAAAGTTCACGTGAAAGACACACGGACACATTATATTTAATTCTATTAACATTGACAATATAAAATGTGTCCTTTAAAAAACGATTTTTTCAATACTTCCATGGCTCACATGCTGAAATGTTTTGCTGAGCAGGTGATTATGGCCTACATCAGGCTAATTGGCATGTGGCAAAAGCTATTCTGAAATTATGAGACCTGACTGCGAGCTTCAACATGATGCCTGACTTATCACACAATTAGATCTGCTGTGTAATGTGAAAACCTTTTAACGTAGGCTGGCTGGGAATGTTATTCTGCCAGGAATCAGCTACAAGTTCAGCTTTTTCAGACGCCTGAGCTCTTTAAAGATCGGGTCTTATCAAAATGTAATAATATGTATGTTTGTGAAAAATGCCATTTTAATGAACTATAGCATGTTGAAGTGGTTGGCAGTTTTGACTTGCAATACTGGGCTCTTATGTCTCACTCCTAGCAATGACACAGTACATCATTGCATGGAGTTTAAATGTTCTCCATGTGTTTGTGTGGATTTAATGCCAAAAACAGATTGGTAGGTTAAAATAGACCTTGCACTAAAATTCCAGCATCTGATTATTTACCCAAGGTCGACTCCCTCATGCCAAAATGAAACATTGCAATAAAAAAAAATAAAATGTATTGCTAATTGATGGACGGCACCACTGGACATGTAAAGAGAAAAACCAACCACACTTCCTTCCGCTCCTGCAGGATGTCGAGTGACGAAACGCGCAGGGCAGGGCTCTCGGAGGTGTCGTCACCACATACGGGTGAGCTGTCGGGGTTTGTTGAGACCGGAGTTCGCCTGTTTAGGAATATACATGCTTTTTATGCCAGTGTCGGTGATGACACTATACATTGTGAGTGCGATTTATATTTTTTAATGGAATAAAGCATTTTTATGGTTTTACACTATGAAGCTTCCTCTTCCTTTCCTCCCATGTCGTTAAGGTAAGGAGGTGTAGAAGTCATTTGGCAGTTCTGCAGATCGTTGCTCCCAGAGTCGCTGCCAGGGGCGGACTGAACATTTGGAAACTCGGGCACTGCCCGAGGGCCCGGGGTCAGAAGGGGGCCCCATGAGATGCCCCTGGTACCTTTTTCATAGGCTTTTTTGAGTTTGGGCAAGGACAAAGGGGCCCCATAATCCCCTATTGCCCGGGGGCCCCATGAGTTGGGCTCATTAGCTGGTTTATAATATTACCAGCATGGAGCTCTGCTGAGTTCATTTAATTTGTCTGGTGGTGGATCAACACGTGTGGCTGTGTTTCAGGACACATATGGATTAAAGATATATATATACATATATATATATATTGGTTGGGTGGGCACACTGTTACTAATATATAATTGTTGTTGGCATATACATATATATTTTGTGTATTTATTTATATATGGGGTGTGTTCTATTATTAGTAAAGAGTATGTAAAGATATTGAATATTATAATAAGGGTTTGTTTTGCACATTACACTTTTTAATTAATGGTCAATACTTTTTGCAAAATTTTGCACGTTAGAGATTTTTATTAATTCACTTTAATTAATTTCACATTTTTCACATATAAAGATGGTGTGTATATTCATGTCATAAGAATAAGGTGTTGAAGAGCGCTGTACTAAATATTAATTGTGTCAATTAAAAAAAATAGCCTGTGGGTAAAAAAAGTTAGCTCAAGCTGCCCATAGATGACTTGATTCCCCCATCAATAGTCAATGAAGGGGAATGCCTCCTGCAGTGCTATTGTGTTCTGCCAAGAGGGGGGGGGGGAGGCGGGGGGAGCCCTTTTGGTCAGCAGAACACAATGAATACTGCTAGCGGCTATAGCCGCTGGCATTAATCAAATGTAAAAGATTGGGCAGGCTGGATGTTCCCAAGTTGAACAATAGATCGAGTTCGGTACAATCAGACTGCCCATACATGGATCGAATCTTTTCTGTTCCTTGGTGAACTAGTCAAATTTCTCTCCGTGTATGGCCAGCTGAACCCTCTTTGTGATCACAATACAACTGTATAAGTCTAAACATAAATCCCCCTTGCTGCGAGAACATTGTTTAACCTTGCAACAGAGAACAGGAATGTGCAACTGTGTGAGTTCCTAGTTCTTATATCCGCTGTCAATCAAAAATCGAGTCATAGGGGTTGATGTGCTAAAGGCAAAAAGGGTAGTTGCACTTCT